TATATCTTCACTAATTCAAAATATTCAGTTCGTAAAATAAAAACAACCCTGACAACTCTTGAAAGCAATACAGTAACAATGATTTTCTGAAAAACAGAACATTAATAAGTTACGTACTACAACCAATACTATTAATAACAGAACTAGTTCTACTACTATGAATATATACCTATAGTAGTAGATAATAACTATTGCTATCTACTATTAATACCAGTGCCTCTACTGTCAGTAGCACCACGACTACCTCTATAATACTACGAACAGAAATACTAATATAATACTCCCATTAATATTTATACCTTTATTACAAGTTTTACGAATAACATAATCTCACTACTTGCTTCACTTTCTTCCAGTGCAGATTGTTTGAGGCGTGACGTAAGACACTCCAGCTTTGTTCCCACGTTTCTGCTTCCCTCATTGAAGTTATCATCAGGAAAATTTTCACAACACAAGGACACAGTTCACAATTCAATGATAAGGTACAAAAAATTACGAAACAGCCGTGGCGTAAAAGACGAACCAACTAATGTACAACAAAACTGGAGAAAACTTTACAAAGAAGATGAACTGGGTTTTAAATCTGGAACAGTCAAGGGAGTGGTAAAAACTAATGATTAGTTGTTTTCTACATGACTACATTACTGACTTCTAAGCTTAACGGACATTAATAGAGCTGGTGCAATAGTCGTTGCGTATGCTTACTTTGTTGAGTGAAATATGCAGAGATTCCGTAATGACCAGGTTGAGCCTGTGCATTTCAAAGTCAACGATTCTGACGTTTTTTCTACTAAAGATACGCTTGCACTCTAACGAACGGGCAGTAATTTCGGAATTTTCCTGATGACAGTTTTTGTGCTAAAGGCCGAAACCTCGGACTAAAGTAAAGGAGTATCTTAGGTCACGCTTAAAACGACTTAAATTGAAAGAAAGTGAGATTTCTAACCTTGGCATGTATTGAAAAATGACTTTCCTAAAATTACAACAGTCTGTCAATTCGTCTTAAATAATGCTTACAAACCGTAAAATTTCGATTATTGGCCGTAAAAAGTGTTAGTAACAATTTAAATAGCAACAGTAATAGCAGTTGATAGAACAACAAGACGTAAAATCATTGTAAGTGGTATCAGGAGAAGCGGCAATTATAACCACCATATTAATTTAGTTCTAGTACAACATTATTTACACATGGTTTAACACTGGGTAGTCAGCCGCTTTCTTAAAATTACGTTTATACCTAGTTTTAGAAAGCCATTTGATTAGTCCAGGCGAATTTCATCCGGAAAACGCACGCGTCATACAACATGGCCGCATATCTGGCAGGCTTTGGAATGACCACAACACCATGATTCCTATTATTCGCAGGCGAGTAACCCGCTACCCGTTATACGGCTGGTTGTACCGAAGCACAGTGGGATCAGTTTTCTTTGATGAAGGAAATTAGAGATTACTGAGAAAGAATTCACACTGTGCGCTGTGTTTGAAACTCCACTCCGGCGTGCAAGGCAACCTACACACTAACTGTGTCACTGCTCCTTCCCCCTCTCCACTGTTAGGCGGGTCGAAGTGAACTGCACCAATGAGAGGTGTTCCCACCAAACAGCATGTTGGCACCTCTCACGCAGTAGCACTAGCAGTACTACAAGTATTCGTAGCATCAACAGTAGTAGTACTGATGAACGAAAATGAGCACAAAACGGATGCATCTGAATTAACTGCTGCCGACAATCATGTCACCGCCAACAAACTACCGTCATCATTTCCCCTCTAGTGCAACCAAAATTACATTACGATTTTCAGTAATACAGCGTCCAGTTCTAATAGCATTTTTTGATTTTGTTCTTCTATTATTACTACAACCATTAACAAATTACTATTAATACTATATATTGTGCAAATAATCGAAATTCAGCAGCACACAACGTATATTCATGAGGCTGATGCGAAATCATCAGAATAAACCTCTATTGCCATTTTGGATTGTATTTCACACATTTTCTTCTAGGTGAAGCCTGGTCGCAAAAGTACTTCCGGCTCAAACAGTAGCATCATCTACGCTGCTATCCTAAGCACATGCTTTCATATGGCTGCCAGGCTAGCAACAAATGAACAAACTATTCGACGCGTGAATTCAACCCAGCACCGATTATGTTTATCAGCTAACTGGCAGTCTATCATGAATAATGCTACTGCTTAAGCTTGAAGCTGCACCGGTTCACCTTTCGAAAGGCCTTTTCGGCACGCTGCATCAACTTCGAACCAGTATGGCAGCTGTAATCTTCAAGTCCGTAGCCAAGTTTTCGGTAAAAGGATTCAAAGCTGGCCAAGTACCTCAAATGGCACATGTATTAGATAAATTAGATTAAGAGATCGATTGTTCGTAAAACGTACCGATTAAAGGCGCATTTCACTGCTTGTACCGTGGCGCCGTGAACCTTCTTGTACTTCATCTGCTCCAATACGTCCTTCCAGAGGTTCTTGTTGGACACACGCGCGTAACCGCCAAGGTCCTTGACCGCTTTGTACAACGCGTACAGGTCCAAATCCTGACCAGCAATCATTGGACACTTGTTAATCGGCGTGCCTCGCTCATCCATAAACTTGTACAACTGAGCGACGAAGCGGTCGCGCTTTTCTGAGCTGGCAGCACCCAGCTCAGAGTCATTGTCACTCGACTCGTTAGTGTCTTTCGT